AACTGGTAATGTATATCGAAATATCGGAAATGTGTTTAAAAATCATATCACCGTTATTGAAAAAAATTATACCACGATATATATTGATATTGAATTATTGTCCAGCCCTATATCAACATAACGAACGTTGTTTTCTCGTTATCATGACTTAATATTTTCTCGTGATCTCGACATAACGAAAGTTGTTTTCTCGTTATCACAACTTAATTTTCTTGTTATATCGACATAACGAAAGTTTTCTCATTATCACGACTTAATTTTCTCGTGATCTCGACATAACGAAAGTTGTTTTCTCGTTATCACGACTTAATTTTCTCGTGATCTCGACATAACAAAAGTTGTTCTCTAAGTTACAAAACTGTGCCAACAGGTGGCACTATAGACCTGAATATAACTGAAAGGGTGTTGTATACTGTATATCCACTTTACTGTACACATTTGGGACAGAATAAGGACCTTCTTCATGATCGCTATAATTTGTGCAATATTACTAACATTTAATTAATTTATAAATGTTAAATGCTTGAATCAATATGATTATTTTGTCTATCGTTAAGTTCTTGCTAGATGCGTGACTCATCACAGTTTCACCACCGCATAGCGTTCTGGCTTATTAAAACCAGTGTATTCTGTTTGCACCTACTTTATTTGTGCATCTTTGAAGTAGGCCTACATGATTGCTAGTTAATAAGCAGGGATGTTGTTTATCTAGGACGCGCTTCAACAACTTTCGTTATGTCGAGATCACAAGAAAATATTAAGTCGTGATAACGAGAAAACAACTTTCGTTATGTCGAGATCACAAGAAAATATTAAGTCGTGATAACGAGAAAACAACTTTCGTTATGTCGAGATCACAAGAAAATATTAAGTCGTGATAACGAGAAAACAACTTTCGTTATGTCGAGATCACAAGAAAATATTAAGTCGTGATAACGAGAAAACAACTTTCGTTATGTCGAGATCACAAGAAAATATTAAGTCGTGATAACGAGAAAACAACTTTCGTTATGTCGAGATCACAAGAAAATATTAAGTCGTGATAACGAGAAAACAACTTTCGTTATGTCGAGATCACAAGAAAATATTAAGTCGTGATAACGAGAAAACAACTTTCGTTATGTCATCATCACAAGAAAATATTAAGTTGTGATAACGAGAAAACAACTTTTGTTATGTCGATATAACGAGATAATTAAGTCGTTATCATGGCAAAACAAGACAGAAAAATGTTTTATAATCCATGGCCTCTTAGGACTTCCGTAGAAAACAGAAATGCTTAGAATGTGTGAATTTCCATTTAATGTGACCCTGGAGCACAAAATCAGTGCAGTCTTAAATCTGGGGTCAATTATCAATTTTTCTATTATGCCAAAAATCATTAGAATATTAAGAAAAGATCATGTTCCATGAAGATATTTAGTAAATTTCCTACCGTAAATATATCAAAACTTAATGTTTGATTAGTAATATGCATTGCTAAGAACTTAATTTGAACAACTTTAAAGATGATTTTCTCAATATTTAGATTTTTTTGCACCCTCAGATTCCAGATTTTCAAATAGTTGTATCTCAGCCAAATATTGTCCTATCCTAACAAACCATATGAATGAGCATTTTAAATTGATGTGCTCTTTGTGTCGACACTGTTACTTTTAATATAATGATTTACAAAGAGACCACAACACTTTGTATTTTTAAGGCTTCATAGATAGAATTTGGAGGATATCTGCTTTACTTATATTAATACTTAAAAGTGTAAATTAGTTAAAAATAAGTAAACTGATTTATTGTTTATTTTGGCAAATCTGCTTCTTCCACACAGAAATTCATGTTCAGTGAAACTCCTCCCACACATTCACCAATTCATCAATAAATGCTGGAATATCTCCATCAGTTCACAAGTGAAGACGAGCATCAAATCATCAGGAAGAGCTGAAATCTGCAAAGACTGAGTTTATTAAAGAGGACAGAGAGAAGATGAGAGATCCAGAACCCTGCAGAATCAAACACACTGAAGATACTGAAGAACAAACAGGTTGGTGTTTATTCTTCTTCATTAATAATAATGACGGATATAACGTTTCAAGTAGCTTTAGAGTGTTTGTGTTGTAATTGAACAATTCTGTAGAGCTCTGCAGTAATATAGCTAAATAATCAAATAACAAGGGACACTTTCTGTAAACTCTGTACTTTTTTCAACAAAATTATTTATGTTAGATACTTGTGTAGTTGACCAAATATGTTTAATAGTTCTCCCTATAGAAACATGGGATTTGTGCCTATAATATTTTTAAAATTATTATTTGAAGATCAATGTACCTCATTCATTGAATGAAAACATTTCAGGGACATATATATAAAATGTACTTGATGTATTTCTAAAACTGCATCAAAATTATCTACTTTCTGCTGTTACATCAGGGTTCATTTTTATGTCTTTACACGTTTCTTTTTTTTAATGAGTTAAAGGTCACATATTTTACACCTTTCTGGAGTTTTATTTTAGGTTTTGATGTCCTTAAGAATAAAAACCATCTCAATATATTTTTAGTCAATTTTGGCCTGTCTAATTACTATTCATGAGCCTCTCTTCTGAGTA